TTTCAATGGTGTCTGTGTATATATATTATCCTTTCTTTCCCACACACCCGCTATTAAAATTTGTATTACTTTATAGGGTTATATAGTTGTCCACGTGCATGTTTGGAAACGGATCATGAATGTGATTTTTCTCATTGTGGATAAAAATCATGATGAGTTTACTACTAAAGCAACTATTTGTTGCTTCTACAAATCATGGTAAGTTGAACTCACCATGTTTTTTTTTCATTTTTCAGACCATGAACGTGAAATTTTTGGGTGTACGAACATGTTTTCAAACATGCTTTAACACTGCGTGTACCCAAATGCATGTATAAGCAGGTACAGTTGTCACTGAAATGTTAAAACCACCCAACCTTCATAATAAAACGTAAACTTGCTAAAAGAAACTTACAGATATAGTTGTCAATGGTAAGTCAATTTATGAATATTTTCTTACGCATACTGAGAGATATGCAGCTAAGATAGTAATTCCAAATTTGCTGAGTATTAACTATTTTGCAAAAGCAAATCTGATTCAATGTCTTCATGAGTTAAGTTAAAATAAAATCATTGATGACATGAATTCAATGCACTAGATCAGTACCTTTGTGAGTTGTGCTAATTTTTTTATTTTTTTTGCCCGTAACATATGATTTACAAAGTATTTCAAATGTATGTTCGTAAGACGTGACTTCCATATGGTAAATATTATTTTAACATAAATGAAAATAAAATATGATTCATGTTCCAAAACAAGTATTACAACCACCAAACCAATAGATTTATGAGTTTACTATGTCAACTACTTAGCGTCACTATGTTAAATGAAAGAAAATTCATTCGTGAAACTTACAAATACAATAGAAAATGAGAAGAAACAGAGCAGGATCTGGACTTCCGGTTGATGACAAAAGAATCCGAAATCTCTATACACGAGACTTAAAAATGCTCAAGAACAATAATTCTCTGTACAAAATTGTGCAAAATTGATAACATTACAAGAATGGCTTTAACTTCTGAATTTGCCAGACACAAACTGTACCTGTCAATGCAAAAGCGTTCACAGTATTTCTGAACCTTCAATGGATAGCACTTAGCCGCACAAGGTTCTCTCTTATAAGCCACCACAAATTGGGACCTATCTCATTTATATCTTGAATGGAACAACGCAAGTAATGTTATCATTTTGAACTCTGTCTTTTAGCACTTCAGCTCCATTAGGCAAATGGTCCAATAAAAATGGTTAAATTTGTTAGGCAAATGCTAGACTTGGATAACCTGCAATGTTAAACCTCAAATGTTTCAAATGTTCTTTGTGCTGGTTCCTCTGCAGACTATTACAGTGTTATTCCTTAATTTACCTTAGGTGTCTTCCTCTTTTGCATGTTACGAGCAATCTCAATGCATGCTTGATCAACCATTCCCAGAAAATCCTTAACTATGACAAATAGATAAAAAGGTTGTGCACTATCTTTTGAAGCTCCCCCTTGATAATATTCTATTGTTCTTTTCATAAGTTGCATTACCCTTGTTTGCTCCTCCCTCACTAACCGAAGTTCCTCCTCAGCATTTTCAAGAAAATGGTTCATTTCTCTCACAAAGTTTCCTCCCTTATCATTTCCACACTGGGAAACAAGTTCTCTAGTCTCAACTATCCTGGCTGAGAGCGCTGAGATTGAGCCAACAAAACTGTTGTAATCTGCAACCGCAACCTTCTTTACGTTGGTAAACTCAGAACTGATCCCTCCTACAATTGGCAATCCTAGTGTTATATATTCCTTTTGTCTTTGTTCATTTGAAGCAGAAGAGTTCTCCGAGTCTCCACTGTTGTTGCTGCTCCTGCTGCTACTACGACTCAAACTGTGATTGCGGTTAAGTACGGCGCGTTTACCTTCAGAACGCACTACTTCTTCAACCACAAAGTGGAGCAATGTTGTTTTTCCATCAGTGCTCTTGACATCAGAGAGCTTTCTTAGAGAAGCCAGGTTGAAAGCTTGAGCATTACCCCTGTTAGTGCCTGCGTTCATGCGGTTTCCAGCCTTAAGCACTGCTTCGAGAAGCTTCAAAAAAATTCCTTGGTTTCGAAGCTCCTTGCACCCCAGCTCAAGGGTATGCAAAAACTCCTTGATTTCTACCATTTCAGAATCATAATTCAACCTGAATAATAAAGCATTCAAGCGCTTAAATGCTGAAGGAACAACTTTGAGGATGTGATGTAGGAAAGATTCTGCTGCAGCAAGTTTTGAAGGGTCTCCTTCATATGCAAGTATAAGCATCTGTTCTTCTTCTGTTGGAGCTACTCTGCCAAGCTTTTCAATGGTGTCTGTGTTAAGACCATGACCATCAGTCAGTGCATCAATAATTTCCATATGCGAGACTGCCAGAGACTTCAAAACAATAGCAATATTTTGTGATTTTCTGGGATCAAGAAGGGAAGCATTTGCTGATGGAGCCAAACCATCCTTTCTAGGACTGATTGAGTTATTTACTTTTGGGGTATTATCATTTCGGCCGGTGGCAACATACCCGAAGAGAGATTCCATAAGATCATCATCAACCCTGAAGTTCAAGAAATCATCATCAGCCAATGCTAAAATGGAGGAATCAAAATTTAGATATTTACAAAATCTAGTGTATTAAGATTACCTGAAAGAACCACGGCCAAGTTTGTCCCACACCATAGAGTGATCAAGGTTGGTATTCACCTTATCCCAATGTAAGGGCTTCAGTTTTACCTCAGGTGAAGTGTTGCCTTGCTTACTTGAGGTAACTGATGCACTTCCAATAGGGGTAGGTGGTGGTTTTGATGATGACTTCATACCACTTGCCTTTGATGGACGATGAGGTGGTGCTGGACTCTTTCTAGCAGAAATTGGTGGTGGAGGAGGTGGTGCTGCTGAGTTCTTTTTATTTTGGATTGGTGGTGGTGGAGGTGGTGGTGGTGGTGGTGAGCTTTTTCCACCTTGGATTGGTGGTGGTGGGGGTGGTGCTGCTGCTGCTGAGCTTTTTTCACCTTGGATTGGTGGTGGTGGGGGTGCTGCTGCTGCTGCTGCTGCTGAGCTTTTTTCACCTTGGATTGGTGGTGGTGGGGGTGCTGCTGCTGCTGCTGCTGCTGAGCTTTTTTCACCTTGGGTTGGTGGGGGGGGGGGGGG